AGGAAAGAAAAAACAGGGAAACTATTCATAAATCTGCCACCTCTCTACTGAAATTTTGGACCACTCTTCTTTTGCCTGCAGCTCCAGGTCTCTCAGATTTGAAGGGTTCCTTCTCCCAGCTGCTGTTTGGAGATCTCTCCACATGTGCTATATGGGATTTAGATCTGGACTCATTGCTGGCCCCTTCAGAACTCTCCAGTGCATTGTCTGAAACATAAATGTTGTTACACCCCTTTTAAAATTGCATGTTCAAGTTTTAACAAGCCCCTATATTTGGCAGTGGATTAATTTAGCCATGTCCAAAGTCTGGCCCCTGGCCCAATTGTGGCCAGTGTTCAAATTTCCACCGGCCCGCAGCCTCTGTCATAAAATCAATAATATGCGGCCTGCCAGCACTTTTGACCACAGTATAAAATAGATGCGTACAAAAAAGCTATATTTCGCCAGAAGATGGCAGTAGACCTGTGGTCGCACTCTCGCCGCGTGACCCTTGTGTGATCCTTTCCAGCCCATTTCTAAAATGGCAACTAAAAAAACAAGTTGACAGCGAGGGCCACCGCTTCCAGGACAAGAGGAAATTGGAGTTTTTTTTGTTTTTTTTTACTGAAATAGGAAACAACTCTGCCTAATTTGCCAAGAGACTGTGGCTGTTTTCAAGGAATTCAATATCAAGAGGCACTACCAGATGAAACATGCTAACTACCACAAGCTTACTGGGAATGAACGTTGCGAAAAATTGAGGCAACTGGAAACTGTTTTAATGGCACAGCAGCGCTTTTTCACAAGAGGCTGTGAGTCAAATGAAAATGCCACAAAGGCAAGCTACGAGGTGGCAACGTTGATTGCCAAGCACTGCAAACCTTTTACTGAAGGTGAATTTATTAAAGACTGCGTGATGAAAATGGTGGACAAAATTTGTCCTGAGAAGAAGCAAGAGTTTGCCAATGTTTGCCTGGCTCGTAACACTATGGTACGGAGAATTGAAGACGTTTCATCTGATATTAAGAGACAGAGGCACAAGGAGCGGAGTTAGATTTTTTTCGTTAGTCTGTGATGAAAGGACGGATGCATCTGACACTGCTCAGTTACTGATTTTTTTCAGATGAGTGGACAATGAAATGAATGTGAGTGAAGAGCTACTAGACCTCCAGAGCCTTAAAGACCAAACAAGAGGAACAGATTTATTTGTTTGTTTGTTCTGACATAAACCTACAGTGGAATAAAGTCACGGGGATTATTACGGATGGCGCCCCTGCCATGTCAGGCGAGCGAAGTGGATTATCAACCCTAGTCTGCAACAAAGTCAGCGAAGAAGGAGACAAAGCTATAAAACTCCACTGTATTATTCACCAACAAGTTCTCTGTGCCAAACATCAGTGGTGTGAAAAAGTATTTGCCCCCTTACTGATTTCTTATCTTTTTGCATGTTTGTCACACTGTAATGTTTCAGATCATCAAACAAATTTAAATATTAGTCAAAGATAACACAAGTAAACACATCATGCAGTTTTTAAATGAAGGTTTTTATTATTAAGGGAAAACAAAATCCAAAACTACAAAGCCCTGTGTGAATAAGTGTTTGCCCCCTAAACCGAATAACTGGTTGGGCCACCCTTAGCAGCAACAACTGCAATCAAGCGTTTTCGATAACTTGCCATGAGTCTGCCACAGCGCTGTGGAGGAATTTTGGCCCACTCATCTTTGCAGAAGTGTTGTAAGTCAGCCACATTGGAGGGTTTTCGGGCATGAACTGCCTTTTTAAGGTCATGCCACAGCATCTCAATTGGATTCAGGTCAGGACTTTGACTAGGCCACTCCAAAGTCTTCATTTTGTTTTTCTTCAGCCATTCAGAAGTGGACTTGCTGGTGTGCTTTGGATCATTGTCCTGCTGCAGAACCCAAGTTCGCTTCAGCTTGAGGTCACAAACGGATGGCCGGACATTCTCCTTCAGGATATTTTGGTACACAGCAGAATTCAGGGTTCCATTTATCACAGCAAGTCTTCCAGGGCCTGAAGCAGCAAAACAGCCCCAGACCATCACACTACCACCACCAATATTTTACTGTTTGTATGATGTTCTTTTTCTGAAATGCGGTGTTACTTTTACACCACACATAATGGGACACACACCTTCCAAAAAGTTCAACTGTTGTCTCGTCTGTCCACAGAGTATTATTCCAAAAGTCTTGGGGATCATCAAGATGTTTTCTGGCAAAACTGAGACGAGCCTGGAACCCTGAATTCTGCTGTGTACCAAAATATCCTGAAGGAGAATGTCCGGCCATCCGTTTGTGACCTCAAGCTGAAGCGAACTTGGGTTCTGCAGCAGGACAATGATCCAAAGCACATCAGCAAGTCCACTTCTGAATGGCTGAAGAAAAACAACATGAAGACTTTGGAGTGGCCTAGTCAAAGTCCTGACCTGAATCCAATTGAGATGCTGTGGCATGACCTTAAAAAGGCAGTTCATGCCCGAAAACCTTCCAATGTGGCTGACTTACAACAATTCTGCCAAGATGAGTGGGCCAAAATTCCTCCACAGCGCTGTGGCAGACTCATGGCAAGTTATCGAAAACGCTTGATTGCAGTTGTTGCTGCTAAGGGTGGCCCAACCAGTTATTCGGTTTAGGGGGCAAACACTTATTCACACAGGGCTTTGTAGTTTTGGATTTTGTTTTCCCTTAATAATAAAAACCTTCATTTAAAAACTGCATGATGTGTTTACTTGTGTTATCGTTGACTAATATTTAAATTTGTTTGATGATCTGAAACATTACAGTGTGACAAACATGCAAAAAGATAAGAAATCAGTAAGGGGGCAAATACTTTTTCACACCACTGTATGATCATGTTATGAAACCGGTGATAAAGGCTATTAATTGTATTCGCTCCAAAGCCCAGTATCAGCAGTTTCTAATTGACATCCAGGCTGAATACGAAGATATTGTGTATCACAACAAGGTAAAATGGCTCAGTCGGGGGTCTGCACTGCAGCGCTTCAACTGTCTTAGGGAGGAAATTGAACAATTCTTGGCAAAAAAGGGACAACCAGTGCCAGAACTATCTGATCCTGTTTGGCTGGCTGATTTTGGATTTTTAGTTTACATAACACGACATCTGAACGCGCTGAACACGAGCCATCAGGGGCAAAATGCAGCGATAAGCCAACTGTATTCACACATCAAAGCCTTTGGGCCCAAGCTGCTACTTTTCCAAAGGCACCTGTCACAAACGCAGCCCAATACCACACATTTCCCATCACTGCAGGAAATAATGACCAGTTTTCCACAGAACAATATCAGTGAGCAAATGAGCTTGTTTGGCCTGACATACTTGTGCGAGAAGACATTCTCGGTTATGAACATTAACAAGAACTGCATGAGGACGAGACTAAGTGACTCTCACCCGCGTGACATCTTGCGCATCAAAACCACTGTTTTTGAGCCAGACCTGACTACACAGCAAATTCACTCGAGTTAAAATTCTAGTGTTGAGTCCTTTTAGAGTGAAGTATTGAGGTTCTGGTGTTGTTTTTGCTAGAGTGAACTCTGTGCTAATGAGAAAACATAATCTTGGTGGTGTAACATTACAGTGTTAATGGTATTCAACACCGAAGAGTGTTCCTTTAAACATCCAGGCATTTGGGCAGGTATGCTTGTGGAGATTTGTGACAGCCGCCATTTTTCTTGGTCTCGCTGCGAGCACAAAAAGGATACACTGGTGAGTTTAATATAAAGAATTCTCATTGTATTCTAGCTATTTTCTCATTACAATGCACGTATGTTGGCGTGTTTCAAATGTTAGTGTTTACAATGAAAGCCTGTATCATTATTATCAAGTTTCCACCACCGTTTGCTTACTGGTAAGTGACAATGTTAGGTAGCTAATTTCAATGTAACTTTAGTTAAATTGAATTAAAGGCTTTATTCTATTATAAAGCCACGTCCGGTTCTTTCAAACCAGGAACTCAGAGGGACAACTCAGACCACTTGGATATATAAAAAATATAACTGTGCTGGTTTATTCAAAGAGTCACAGGCAAGAATTAACATTACACGTCCAGGCATCTTCCACCCCCAGAGCTGCTCGTAGGCAGCCCGGAAGAAGCAAGACCCCGAACCTAGAAACCTAGAGCAGTAGACAAAACATGAAGAAAATAATGTGTGTGAATGTTGATTATGTGGTGTGTATCTAAAAACACTGTAACACAACAATTCACATTAAGACAAATATTATGGTTACTTTTACCGTCATAATAACATTTATCCCTGACTGCAGCCTTTCTCTGCTTTAACTAACCTTGCATTTAACAGCCTGAGGAAGACATCCTGGCTACACTAACATCTTCTAATACAACAGATCTCTGAATATCTATCTAACTAAGAAATAACCTAACAGAATTTTAGGACACCTGTGGGCTAACGTGTATGTGAACTCTTTTTAAAAATCATTTTAAGCTGTTTTGGCCAAGGAGAACGTCATATTAACTATTTCATACAAACAGCGTTTCAACTGACACCGCAGTGCCTTGGGTTTTAGCTGCAAAATCGGTTCACCATCTATATACTGGTAACATAACGTTAGTTAGCTAAAGTCTTATTGTAATGTTAACTCGCGTGTAATGATGTTTAATATGTGTAACATTAATTATGGCTGTTCACCTTCAGTTGCAATCTTGATAATGCTTTAATTTTCTATATACTCTTGATTCATAACAGTCAACAAGTTCAGGAAGATCTCCGTTCAAAAAGTCATCCCTCAGGTAAGAAATGTTAGTTTGGCTGAATTTGTCAATCTGTTAAGTCACAAAAGATGTAGCGAAGTATTAAAGTCCCTCTAGTTTTGAGGGATTTCTGTAGGAATTATGCATATATTTAATATATATAAGCATTGTGAATTGTCTGGAATTATAACTGAGTAGGGATTAATCTGCAGACATACAATATAAAATATATTCAGTAAAGCTATATTATTTATGAAGACAAAACGTGTGTCCAAGAACTCAAAGACGCATATAGCACAAGGAGGTGGTCAAAGATGGGAGAGGGAGCTGCCTCAGTGTGGTGGTCAGTTACATGAAGAGCGTTGCAAAGAGGTCATATCCTTAATGAACTACACCAGTGACAGAGAAACATCCTGGAGAAGAGGGAGACTTTTGAGTATAGGCAGCATCTCATCCACAACCCAGATGAATCGCATGCAGTATTCTCTGTGTTTCCAAGGCTGCTGGATACTAAAGGGCTGGTAAGAATTGTCATTCTTTATTGCAACCGCAGTTAATAGAGTTAAGCTTAGCACACAATTGTTAGATATGTCAATAGAATATGAAATATTTTTTGCTGCAGATGTGTTGCTGCAGATATTTCAAGATTTTAGCCTCCTCTTTGGGCCAGAAACAGCTGCCAAACTACTTAAGAAATGGCATACGACTTATAAAGAAAAGGTGATCAGAGAAGCAGGGGGAGCCTTACTTCCACCCCGATGCTCCAAAGTTTGTTGAGGTCTGCCAGGAATCAGTGGCATGAGGTATTGAATTGAAGGACAAATGAAATTCATTTTCAAACAGGTCACACGGTACTTAAAAGGTGACATAACACATAAAAAGATGGTCCTTTTTGAAAGGAGACATATTTGTCATGAAAACAAAACTGAGTTGTTTTTTGCTTCCTATAGAGTGGGACAGTGATATGGCGTCCCTGCTGCTCGTGCATATCCTTCCACCTCAGCCAAGTAAAAAGAAAACACAGAAGATCAGTGCTGCTCAGGCCATGGACCGCCTAGTTGTGTTCCACAAGGGGTATGTACTGGGCCACAGTTTGTGATTTAAGTGGAAAACAGTGTTTCAACAGTATTTGTAATTTGATTTGTAATTTTTCCCTCAGTCATGCAGGAGCTTAGAAGAACAGCTAGAGAACCAAGAGGGACATCACTAGCCATACCTTCTCACTTCTGGAACCAGCAAGCTACATTCTACATTGTGCTGGACAAGAAGCTCATCCCATTCCATGGAACCACGTCACTGGCGGCCTTTGATGAACTCTTTAAAGCGCACTTTGTGTTGAGTGTCAGCTATGACACTGCTCTAAGCAACATGTACACATTCCTTCAGACCACAATCTACAGTATTGATGTTAACACCACTAAAGAAAGCCCAAAGGTGAAGGAATTGAGAGCCAAGTTTATGAACAGGAGCTAAGAGCCAAGCTCAATGTGCTAACAATGTGTACATGTAGCAATTACAGATTGTTGCACAATGCACCTATTGCAGTTGCTTTACACAATTTACAATTAGCATTGACAAAATCTTTGTAGTAAATCTACAACATTCTGTTAGCACAAAAATGTCACTCTCTGTCACGGGTATTGAGTCTGGGCCTGCCAATTCAAAAATACTGAGTGATGGTGAAAATGGTTATGTGATTTCGTAACATTTTGAAATTGATATGTCAAGTGAAATAAGTGTCACGACATGGGTTAAACTTAATGGTACTGAGTATCACATGAATCTTGTTTGCACTGAGATGCCAGTGTTCAGTAAGATTTTATCTTTCTGAGAAATGAGAAATGTATCAGAAATGGAGACTACATTTGAGGAACACTTTCATGCTTTTGATGTTGTTGACCAAGTACTAATGGTAGACAATAAATCCTATTTTTTCCAATTTCTTCTCCTGTTTTCCTCAATTGTGCTTTAAGAGTGCCATTCTGTCTTCCTACTAACCTTGCAGGTTGTGGATGATGCATGGTTCAGGTCTATGTGTAAAATTTTGGACTAACAATGGTATTGCACAGTGTACAACTTGGGTTCCATTGTCACTATTGTTGGACTAAACCAGTCCTGCGTGTCCTTTTATGAAGAATGCTCAAAGACAAATCTGTCCTTTGAGATATTTATTACAATCAATATTTATGAAAAAATATTCAAGAAAAGCAATACAGAGCTCTGGATTCCGTCTCTTTCTGAAGCCCTATCACACAGAAGTATAGTGCATAGCTGCTGCAGGAAGCCGGAACCACAAGTTTCCTCTGCATAGAGAATTTATAATAAGAGTCATGCAAATGATCTGACGTCATCCGCGTTGTCCTTCATCCTCGTTCCTTGGTTGGTTTCTTGACCTCGTTCTGACCCCTCATTTGGTGATCTTGTCGCCAGGCAGATTTTGATCTGTGACATTCTCAGTACAACATATCCTGACCTTTCAATAGACAGTTTTAGAGGATATATTTGCTAATGCAGATTATAATGTCAATCCTAGAATTTCATATGTTGATAAATGTTGATAATCTGAAGCCAAGACAATCAGACCTTACACCCACACACTATTCTCGTGCAGACAGTTTAGTCATCTCAGTATGTATCTGCACGACTTCCTGTTGTTCTGAGTCTCTGCACTTAGACACCTGCTTACACACAGCATTTCATGTGCATGGGTCCTTTTACAAAGGTCAAACAGATTAGACAATTATTTAAACAGTTTTGCAAACACATAACATAGCACTATATCATTTTATCAAGAATTTCTTTCTACACTATATAATTTTCAAGTATTCCATATCTAGGGGTTATGAGTTGTGGGAAGCACTTCAATATGTCTATTATTACCAGGCAGAATTTCTTTCCCTCACACTTGTTTAATTTTATGGAGTCCATGCAGATGTGTTGAAATGGAAGTTGTGGTTTTGGAAACTGACCTCTTTTAGTTCTTAAGTTTTCTCTTGCATTGTGGCAAGCCCATATTGTACAGTTAACACAAAAATGTTGGAGTAGTTTGAAAATTCATATGCTGTAAACACTTTGCCTAGCATGGCTGTGCCTGTCCTTATCTATCTCCCCCTGTTTTGAGGCATGACTCTGTCCATGTCTCAAAATTGCAGCATATCTAAAGAAGACTAGGCTAGGTTTCCCTTCTGGTCATTCGTATAATTCTGTTTCATTAAAGGTTGTCTCCCTTTTCTGCCACCTCTGAAGGCCCGCTTGTGAGGCAGCCTTTGAAGTGGAAATTCATGATAAGGACCCCCTTCTTGGAATAACAGTAGAACAATTTTCATTTGAAATCTAACTTGAGCCAGGTCTTCCTGTCTGTAGGTTTTGGGACAAAAGCAAACAACCAGATATTGAGAGAAAAAAAACACTTAAAAAGTTCTAACAGCACCATGAGGAATTCATGTTCCTCTTTTACAAATCATGGGAGTGTTCTTTGTTTAGCCATATAAAACAATCCAGCTCAACAAATATTTCTAAAGCTAATGTTGCAAACTTCATATGTTGGTCAAATGACTGGCTCATATACGCTGTCTGCATTAGGCTGCTATCATTATGAAGTCTGTAGCAACCAAAACATTTCCTTCAAACTGGCTAAAAGTACCAAAAACATATTGGCCTCACTAAGTCTGAGCAGCCAATGCAGTGAATGTTGGTGCTAACAAGTATCATTTATCAAAACTGAAAGACAATTAAAAACTAAAGCTCTGGGTCACATTAATTGTGATTCACTCACAGTTTCAATAGGCTTTCTGCATAGCTTTTAAGACAGTTTGATCTAATGGAGATGGGTAGTGTACTGTCAGTGCTTCTGTTTGTTGATTTCTTAGCTTTATCATTAGTTTCATAGTTGCTGTATGGTATGGGATTTGTGCCCTTAAGCGTGTTGGCCACTCATAAATTGCTACTTTTGTTGGTAACAGTATAGCATCTAAGAAAGAAATTTAAACAGATCTCTGTGGTTGATTGGTTTTCTTGTAGAGGCTCCCAGTACCTGGATTTTTCCATTGTTGTGCAAAAACACGCATGGTGACTATCTACAGTATGTAAATAGTTGCTATTCTCCCTTTAGCTAATTTACACATCAATGCCACAAACTCAGCAGGTTGGGCTGAGTGTCTTAGTGGGGGTTTGCAAACCTGGTTGCTTTTTCTTTTTTCCCTTTTCCTAGAGCCCTCTATTTATAGGTTAGGTTGTGTAAAAAAAGCAAATGAAACAAAATAAAATGTAGCATTATAACTTGTAATCATATCAAAATAACTTAAAATGTGTATCACTCTGACCCAGTCCTATAGTGAGTATAATAGTGTAAAAGATTTCCTAAACACAGTTAGTCAAGACAATTAAAAATGTTTCTTCGATGGTTCTCCAAAAAACAAAACTGGTTTTCATACCTCTTCTCATTTTTAACCCAAGACAGAGAGAAGAGACAGTGTTCTATCTGAAGTCTTCCGGTACTTTTTACCATGCTAACTCTGAGAGACGAGGCAGTCCAAGTAGCTTCAATACAGTGCTAATTTATTCAGTGAACACAGGTAGAAATTAACATTACACGCTCAGGTATCTTCCACCTCCAACATGCACGCAGACAGCTGAAGGATGAAAAAGACTGAAGGGACCAGTTCTTGCTACCATGCTAACTCTGAGAGACGAGGCAGTCCAAGTAACTTCAAAACAGTGCTGATTTATTCAAAGGATCACAGGTAAAATTAACATTACACGCTCAGATATCTTGCACCTCCAACATGCTCGCAGGCAGTTGTAAGATGAAAGACCCTGAACCGAACCAGGCCTATATATTGTATCCCCTCGGTTAGGCTAGCCCCATACTACACAGAAACGTCAACCGAGACGTCTCTCTCACCAGCTTTGCAGCTGGCTCTGGCAATAGTCAAAACATGAAGCAAATCAACGTGTGAATGTGTGTCTGTTGGTTAAGTGGTGTGTAGCTAAAAACATTCTCACGACCTCTAATACATGTCGTGACTCGAACATAGGAACATTATGGCTAAGTCTACAGTTTTACACATCATAATAATAATATTAAACACCGTCTGCTGACAGTCATCAACTCTTCTTTCTGGTGGCCTTGACCGGATGTACCCTGCAGCAACTCATAAGCAGACCTAAGCATTTAACAGTCTAACTAGACATCCTCTCTCCACTAACATTTCTAATACATAAAGTATCTATCCAATATCTATCTGACTAAAAATATCTAACAGTGTCTTTTGTGGCATTTGAGGCTGAGACTGGAGAGAAGTCAACAGTGAACGAGCCTCAGCGGGGGTGGGCACGTTTTCTTTGTTCTCAAGTGGTTGTGTCTCTGGAGATTCAGGAATATTTGTGGGCATTTGTGGGTCAATGATGCAGAGGACTGAGGGCTGAGAGCAATTTTAACCTCAGTAAGAAAACACTGGCAGTTTGCTAGAAAAGCCTCTGCCTTTTGAGCCCTCTTAATTGCATTTCCCTTGTGCAATCTTCCTGCTTTGCACACTTTTCTTTTACGCTGCTCAACGCTCATTGCAGCTTGCTTCAAAAACCTTGTTAAATCACTCACTTTTGGAGCGCCTTCACAGCCTCCAAACATCCCCTTGTCTTGCATACTGTATCTTCAACCCAACCAGCAAATCTTTCTAACTGTTTCTTCCTTAAGAACCTTCCTTAGCCATCTCATGGCCGCCACATACAATACCGATCCCAAGGTGCCGGGTTTACATTCATTCCACTGTTCACATATATTTAGTGCCATAGTAGAAAATTAGGCAAACACATATTAACAAGTTTCGGCGAATGGCGCAGCACCCATGTGACACAGAGACTTGGTGCGCTTGGCTGTTTAGGGTATCCCAGTCAAATCACTTGTTTTAGACACCAAAATATGCAATACCGTAACTCTATAATCCCAAACTGCTATTCCAATGCCCCCCAAAACAGAACTACTTCAGAGCTGTATGAGTACAGGAATTCTCAAACAGGAAGCTGCTTGATACGTTGTTTCTCAAGACAGTCGAAAATCTCTTTCAAGTAGGAAACCACCCCACAATAATTGTGAATAAAAACAACAAACTTGTCCCTGTGTCCCTCTTAAAATTTTAACTGTGGCCAACCTACATTATATTAATGTCCTCACACGCTTTGTGGCATTAATATTTTTACTGCAGTTCATCAACACTGTACTAATGTTATCGTTCACTGCAGCGGCATTAGGTCCACTCCAGGAACAGAATAGCATCAAGTCCTCAGTGGTTATTCATTGATGTGATAAATTTTACATCTTTTATGGGACCAAACGATCTAAGGCTAGGAAACTCATGTACTCTCCCTCATGTGAGACTGTGATTTTTGCGTTACATGTGCCCACACTTTATTTTAAAGGACAAGCCGCTTTACTTCTCTTTAACAAATTTAGAACAATTAAGATCCTCAATCAGACAATTCAATGTTTTAGAGTGCAGAATTTTTCTATATTATAGAAAAGGTATCTTACATGAATTTATGAAGCCGACAGCAAATTCAAATTGTCTGAAGAAGTACTTCCGTAGTTCGCATCCTCAGTTCTCTGCCGATCTCCACTTTCATGTCAATCGATCCCGGATGAGCCCCTATCTGTTAGATTTTAACATGGAAGTGTGAGCCGGAGCTCACACTTCCATGTTGAAATATGGTAAATCTATATATGTGTGTTTGTGTGTGTGTCTCCGGCACCCAGATCTTGATCTCGAGGTGCACTGATCAATGGGTGGCCTGAGTTGCAGGCCCCCTGTGTGTGTGATGCTAGCAGGTATAATAAACTGGCCAGGTGGCCATCTCAGGTTGTAGCCCCCGG